AAACTTCCAGTGTTGGAGCATTCACCGCTTCTGGAGGCAGGTTGTTCCACTGGTTAATTGTTCTAACTGTCAGGAAGTTTCTCCTTAGTTCTAGGTTGCTTCTCTCCTTGGTTAGTTTCCACCCGTTGCTTCTTGTCCTGCCTTCAGGCACTTTGGAGAATAGCTTGACTCCCTCTTCTTTGTGGCAGCCCCTGAGATATTGGAACACTGCTATCATGTCCCCCCTCGTCCTTCTCTTCGTTAAACTAGACATACCCAATTCCAGCAACCGTTCCTTATATGTTTTAGCCTCCAGTCCCCTAATCCTCTTTGTTGCTCTTCTCTGTACTCTTTCTAGAGTCTCAGCATCTTTTTTACATCGTGGTGACCAAAACTGGATGCAGTATTCCAAGTGTGGCCTTACCAAGGCATTGTAAAGTGGTATTAACACTTCACGTGATCTTGATTCTATCCTTCTGTTAATGCAGCCTAGCACTGTGTTGTTGAGTTAGTAACTTGGTTGCTAAATGAATCTGGCTTCCCCTTTAACTTTGCTCGTCAGGAAGGTTGCAAAAGCGGATCACATGACCCCCGGGACACAGCAGTCATCATAAATACGAGTCAGTGGCCAAGTGTCTGAATTTTGATCGGGGGACGGTGGGGATGCCGCAACCGTCATCAGTGTGAAAAACGGTCATAAGTCGCTATTTTCAGTGCTGCTATAATTTCGAACGGTCACTAAATGAACTGTTGTATGTCGAGGACTACCTGTACGAAGACAGGTGTAAGAAACAGTCTTTCTCTCATCCGATCCCCAATTTCTAACTTTACCTTATTGTCCAGATCAAACAGGTACGAGTCATCTTCCCTTACGTCAGCCTCTGCATCAGAAATCAGTTCTCCTACATACCTTTTAAGGGGAGGAAGCATGATAAGGGGAGAGAGATTAGAGCAGTGGTTCTCAACCTTTTTAATGCCGCAACCCCCAACTGGTCGTAAGTCGAGGACTAAACCGGTCGTAAGTCGAGGACTAAACCGGTTGTAAATCGAGGACTACCCAACCGGTCGTAAGTCGAGGACTTTCCCTGCCCGGGAGCACCGCGCATGCGTGGTTCCGCCTCCTGCGCCGGCCGAGGTGTAGCTGGCAAGCGGCAGAGACAGAGCAGGCCGACCACCAGCTGGCCCAGCCCAAGGGAGGTAAGGCACCCACCGGAAAAGGGGAAAAAAATGGTGGACAGCCTTGCTTGGCGACCCCCGTGAAATGGTCAATCGACCCCAAATGGGGTCGCGACCCATAGGTTGAGAACCACTGGATTAGAGGGTGATTTGTCTCCTTAAAGCCAGCCTGTTACTACAAGCCCCCAATCCTGGAGGCTTATAGCAATTCTCCCTCCCCACCCCCCCCCGTATATAAAGGGAAGCGCCAGATGAAAAACAAGTGTCACTCACTCGCATATGAAGGTCCCCTGGGGGATGGTCTGAAGGGCGCGGACCCCCCAACCCATTTTTGCCGTTCGGTACAGCTGCAGGCGAACCCTTCAATCAAGAACATACCAAACAGAAAGATGCAGTTGTGAATAGGTAAAAGTTTGCTGGCTGGGGGATTCTGGAAGTTGAAATCCATTCATCAGAAAGTTGCTAAGTTGCTAGGTTGAGAAACACTGCTATAAAGTACTAAAAATAAAGGGGGGAACCCAATAAAAACATTAAAAACAGGCTATGACAGGGATGGCGAACCTTTTAGAGACCGAGTGCCCAAACTGCAACCCAAAACCCACTTATGCATCTTGGGTGCCGGGTGGGTGTGGCCCATTGGGTGGGCGTGGCTGCGGTGGTAACGGCAGACTGGGTGGGACTAAAAAGTTCAATCAATCAATTCCAACTTTGCGAGATCTTTTTTTTTCCCCGCGAGAAGTTGAAATTGACTGAGCCTTTTTTTTTTTTTTTTTTGCACACGGCGGCGGAGGCCCAAAGCGAAAAGGTTTTATAAAACCCAGCTGAAGGCCTGGGAGTTGGGCGACGGCGCGCACGCGCCCACAGAGAGGGCCCCACGTGCCACCTGTGGCACGCGTGCCATAGGTTCGCCACCACGGGGCTATGATATCCGCTGGAAGAAGGTGGGACATAATTTAACAAGTAATTATGAGGCAATGACAATGACAAGAGAGAGAGAACAAATGTGTGTGTGTGTGTGTTTGTGTGTGTGTGTGTGAGAGAGAGAGAGAGAGAGAGAGAGAATAA